AAACAAAGCAGCTCGCAGATGAATGATTCCTATTCTGGGTAAATCTTAGTTTAATCCACCAGCAGCGGCTCCTGGCAGATTCGTAACACAGCTGCATTGGGAGGAGTGGCACCTTGAAATACCAGCCCGTAACTTGTTGAGCGATTACTGTCAGGATTTGAATTTCAAAAGCCTTAATATTTAACTGTTTGTTTGTTTGTTTGCCGCACTCAGCAATATTCTAGCTATATGATGGTGGTCAGTAAATAATCGAGTCTGGACCAGACAATCAAGTGATTGACCATGTTGACGTCACAAGCTTCGATTCACAAAATTGGGATACGATGACATACATCAACCTGACCACCTGGTCCCGTTAGTCGCCTCTTACGACAAGCATAGCCGCCTAATGGCAAGCATGAATTGCTGAAGAGCCCGGATCTTCACGTGTCCCTTAATATCTAACTAAAAATGACAGAATGAATAAATATTGAGAGAACTAAATACAAATTAATACGAATGACAGATTATCATTCCAGAGTGAATAAAAGTTGTAACTGAGAGTAGTTTTTTCTGTACATTACTAGAGAAAATGTAGAAAAGTGCGAGTTTCATGATATGACCTTGTGACATCAGTAACACTATTGTTGGAACCACATCACATAAATTCACCTGTGACATCATGCCAATGGATGACTTCATCTTCAAGTACTTGCAACAGTGTGTCCATATGACTTAGTTTCTGTGGCCCCCTTGTACACAATAGAACAATTGGCGCAGAATAGCCAATCAGCATGAAGGAAAAATGACAACACTCAGTGAGAATAACTGAATATAATTGCACCGATACCCTTGCCCTAGGGTAATAATTGCTTGACGATACATAAGCACTTACACCATATGCACCTCGTTAATGAAACCTAATCATAAGTGCAAATCTGCAGACCTACAGAACTGCTCAACACTGAACATCTAAGATTAAATAACATTTTTCTCCATTATCAGTTTACATCAATACAGGGCAATGGATCAATAATTTATTACCATCAATCAATAAAACAACACTATGCTACACAACATGTTTTCTTGACAGATTTTCACTGAACGTATCATAACCACTTATGGAAAACCAGGATATACCAAACATGACCAACAAATAACTTTCAAACAAAACATCACTCTCAGAATGCTTAGCAACTCAAAACATTTCTATTTCAGGTGCACAAATGTAAATTATCAATGGATGAGCATGCTATTGCATATATATCAATCATAGCAAAGTTGCTGCCATTTTACTGTGGGGGAATGCAAGCATCAGGTTCATCACTACCCACGTGCAGCAGAACCTCGTCTGATCAAGCTGCGTGGTTCATATATGGAGACCCATGAAGATCCGGGGTAGAATAGGTCTTCAGCAATCCATGCTTGACGTAAAAGGCGACTTTGCTTGTCGTAAGAGGCGACTAACAGGATCGGGTTGTCAGACTCGCTGACTTGGTTGATGCATGTCATCAATCCATATTGCATTGATCTATGCTCATGATATTAATCACTGGACTGTCTGGTCCAGACTCGATTATTTATAAACCGCCGTCATATAGCTGGAATATTGCTGAGTGCGGCGTTAAACAACAAACCAACCAACCAACCAAAAAAGTTGAATAAAAAATCATCAATTATTAACCTATTTTCAAATTAAACACATAACTCAACATAGCATTATTAAAATCCATCTATCTTGCTTCAAAGGTCTCCATAAGCTCTCATAACACGCAAGTTAAGCTAAAACAGTCCGAAAGACCTCCTGGACATTGAATAAATGGCATGGAGTAAATATCAATACACGTACTTGAATGACCTGTTTGCTTTCTTCTAAGTGCAAATTGAACAAGGAAAGCGGCCAGTATTCAAAGCAGTGGCAATTTCCTTTTGTATCAGAAGTAGACCTGTTTTTTTCATTTACATGCCACGTACGGAAATAATTTAAATCTGACAGCTGTATCTATATTAATGAGAAGGACTACAACATGAACCAATGCATGTATATAAACAGTCATGATAAAATAGCTCAGGCCTTGAGATTTAAGGACATTCATCTTTACACAATGAGAAAACACATACTCCATCCTGTTTCCATCAGGATCACAAACCTACAGTATCTTCAATACAGAAAATGGCTTCTGTAATGAGCAATTTCAATTTATTTTCAAATGCTCGAGACCAAACCCATGTAAAAAAAATCAGGCTATTTAAAAAACCTGTGATAGGACTACGTCACAAAATACATCTTAACTTGCATTTTCGTATACACCATTTATTTTTGTTTGTTGTTTAACGTCGCGCTTGGCAATATTCTAGTTAAAATTAAATCCTATGATGATGATACTATCTAACACCTAAATGAAATTAAACAACCTCAATCAAGAAGAAAAAAACAATTAAGCAAAACATAAGCTTCACAGTTTGGGGCATATGATCCCCATGAGTAAGCAGAGACATTTTTTAAATTAAGGATGGTTTATCACATATTCATTATTGATATATAATCATAGGAAGCATTCTGGAGAAAAACCTATTGTACATTCAACAATTAATAATGGTATATATGTGGTTGTCGATGTTTGAATGACAATACCTTCACCCCTTAATAAAAGCATCTATATTCTAGTAGTCTTAGAAGTAGAGTGTCATGGTCGACTCTACAGCCAAAACAGCTTTCAGGGTTTTACGTGACGCACAAGAGTGCGTCCATTACTCACAAATGTAGAGAATGGACGCAGAAAAAAATATACTGCATCCTAAAGGATGCACAATAATATTCATTGTACCTACTGCACATCAAGAGCAGTGATGGACGCAGAAAAAAGTATTCTGCGTCCAAAAGGATGCACAATAATATTCATTGCACCTACTCCATTTCAAGAGCAGTGATGGGTGTTATTTCATCCATCAATAATGACCACTGTCCACATGGGCATTGATTCATTCAGGCTCTAAAGTATCATCAAGATGTACAGTAGACTACACCATATCCTTCCTTTACAGGACCCTCATATTGCCTGCAAGGACCCTAAGAGTAATTATTGGGGGTCTCCCGGACTCCCAGTTTTGTAAGTCAAGGTAAAACCTTTTCAATAAGCCTAATCCAGACCTTGACAGGGTGAAACATTTTTTCCAATCATCCACTGCAGTCACTCCTTTTTTCCCTAATCTAAGACATTATTTCACAAGGTTTGTTATTTACACAAAACTATTTCTCGTGTGTGTATTATAGTAGGGAGTTGCAATGCAACAAAATTACTTCCTGCAAAATATGGTTGCAACAACTCATAATTCAAACGGAAGTCTTCTATCAGATAATTTGCACATTTTGTCTAGATCCTCTTAATCAATAAGAGAACATGTTAATCTCTTATTCATACCAGGATACTTATGTAACACACCAACTATCGTTAATCACCACGTCACTCCACCCATGACAGGTGCGAAATTCATCGAGACACAATAACAAGACCCTGTAACAGTATAGTCATCCTACGATGGGTAGATTCTCAACAGCATAAAAGAACTGTCTACAGGGTGAATGTTTACATGGGAATATACACAAACTAAGGATATAATATGACATACACAGCAACCTCTTGTTACAAACGTGAAGCCAGTAATTTACAAATGTCAGTCAATCACATTAGGAGGGGCCCATAAACTTCTTTTCCTTTTTTCATCATGGTTTTTGTTTCCAGCAAGAGCACAGGTATATAAGATACATAGAAGAGCACAGTTTGGTATGGCTGGGCATACAAACTTAATGCCTATGAGACCTACTGAGAGAAAAAATGAAAGAAAAATATTTCATTGAGGGTTCGGGGCAGGTTCTGGGGGAGAGAGTTCGGGGTGGGGCCCAGGGGAGAGAGTTCGGGGCGTGTCCTGGGGGAGAGGGTTCGGATTCAGTTAGACTGTACACTGGGTTACCATGAGGAAGACCTCACACTTGAGGGCATGTGGCATCCTGGCCAGGTAACGTCTTTATCCTGTGCAGGGAAGTTCCTCTGGGGAGAATATTCCAGTCAAATTGTAAAATATAAACGCTAACTTCAGCAAATTAAGCCTACCAAATACAAGGCCCAGGCAAACACTTGTCATTTGTTAATCAAAACTTCTGAAACTGTAGAGATAAAAGCACCACTGAGAATATTCCGCTGTCAGATAGACTACATCTAGTGGTCGGTCACACTCATCAGTCACTTCACTTTCTCAACTGTTGGAGTTAATCCTCAGTGTACTGGCTGGTGTCCTCTTACCTTCTTGAAAATTGTGTACAGGTAAATTCCTAGGGTGGGAACTATAAGAAAGTCATTACATAATGACAGGCTAATTAAAGCTTTTACTGCTCCTGTTTAAAAGACAGTAAAGCTTTCATAGGGGATTGTAGGCAAATGCATAGAGATATTTTTCAAAGCAATACCGTAATAATATCAACATAAAAAAGGAAAAACTTGGTTATGGTGATCAAGGTCAATAACCTCCTATTAAATCATATCATTCATATTCACCCGGTTGGCTGTAATATTATCAGTGCTTGAGGATGTTGACACATTACAGGGCCTAAAGTTTTACAAGCTGGAAGGGGGTGTGGGGTGGGTGTTTGGGGGGGGGGGGGGGGGGGTGTTGGGAGAAAAGCTATAAAAAATTTAGATGTCAAACTAAATTCATAAACTGTATCCCTTGATTTGATAATGACATTCATTATGGGGAATCAGCTCTTCAGATTTCCGAATCTTCAGAATTGTAATGCGTTGTTAACAGATCTTATTTTGCATACTGGTATGTATAATACCAGCACAAATTGAATGTTTTGTTATCATAATAACTGACAGTGCTGGAATGGAAGTGTGAAAAGAAAGTATGTTGAATATGTAAATAATCGTCACGCTATCATCATCTCATCACACAATCTATAGGTAGGCACATGCTATAAGGCTGTTATCACATGAGTTAGTAATAGTATTGAATGTACCTACCTGCAATTTGGTGGCGGATCCAATGTTATTTCGGCCAGTTCTCTTTGCAATCTAAACAGAATGAAATACCATGTGTCATGTGACGCTGCGAAACTGATCACAATCTACAATGTACGCCAAACTTGTCTTTGATTAGGTCAACTCGAGTAAAGATCACCAAACAATATGGCGATCGAAGGTTTGGAAAGCCACGAAGGGTAATTCGCAAATTATCACTTAACCGTATATCGGATCCTAAATTGTCATACACCATTGGAAAGATCGTATCGAGGGCTTTCCAAATATGTTCTTACTTTGACCGTAGAGTGTTTTCACAAGCGACAAGAGGGCGAAAAAGCTTATATGCAAATGAGCTAGGGTAGAGTTGTGCACGTGGGGATATAGCGAATACACTGCTGCTGCTATTGAACTGTATCAAGTTATAGAGCGTGGTATGCGTTGTATACACTGTGCAGGTATATTGAATCAATCTGTAATATAAATATATTCAGTAAGACAGTTACCTGCGTGCACTGGTGCTAGGAGCCTTGCTCAATTTTGTGGGTTTTGTTTCTTTTTCGCCTTGCCCCCCTCTTCCACTACTAGCACTGGGGTTCCGCCCGCTGGTCGCCCCCACCCCCGAGGCCGAGCCTCCGGAGGGTCCGGGCTGTGCATGTGACGTAGACATATTCAGGTAGATCCAGTATCCCTTCTGAACTGAAACAGAAATAAAGGCCCTCGGATCTCAATCTCGTTCACCACCGATAACAAGGATCGAGTGACCACAACACAGGAGAAGTTTTAGCCAACTTCCTAGATTTCGTGAAAATATTACCTGAACGGGTGAATCAGGACTCGCCTGTATGTGGCGAAGAGGTAGAATAAGAAGTATAGGTGATCAGAACGGACAAAAAAGGCAGGCAATAGTTGAGATAAACCAAATGTTCTCCAAATACACTCAGTCGACAAACATGAGTTATTTGCACACAAAGGACTCGGCTCGGATCAACCTAGACGGGCACTCATGCCGTCTTGTTGGCTATATTTTATCACAAAGTGAAGAACTATTAGAGACCTATTACATCAAACAATAGAAATCGATCAAAATATAACAAATACTCAATAAAATAACATAGAAACAAGTCACACCTCGTAGACGATTCGCTCGCGCGTCTCCGACTATCAAGTTGTCATCAGGCTGTTCCGTTCTCCTCCCTCTGAAAACACAAAGTGCAGAATATTCACCGGTGTCTGACGCACAATATACACCATATCTTCACAAAATAATCACGGATATTTATTCATTGGAATTTATTGTGTAAGCTCCATACAAAAAAATCTACTCATCGACCACGATTGCTTTAATATTTTCTTTGTTCTGTGAATTGTCCGATTTGTGCGGAGGGGGGAAATCAGTAAAATCCTGTCAATTAGGCGTCCGGGCGAGAACATTTTGAAGGAGAGGGGGGAAGGGTTGAAAGTTGTTCCATATCGCGGTCAGATGACTCGCTGACCTCGTGTGTGAAGTTGAATAAACCATGAAAATAAAATCGTTTCACGTCTCATGTAATCCACCAGGCATCCGGGATTGGCGTTTGTGTATTGCTGATGGATTGTCTCAGGTTAACTGTATCTCAAACCTACTGCCGATCCCGTTTATTAAGTAGTAATCCTTTTTTGCCTGACTTGCCTAATTCTATCATTAAATTTAGATGGGTTGATTATCAATTAATACCATTGCCGTTTTTCACTTCGTTTATTAGGTATGTCACAGTGCGTCCCGTATCTGACACACATTCACTATAGACAATCGAGCGGTGTGTGTGTTTGTTGTTTAACGGCACACTCAGTAATGCTCCGGCTCCAGCGGTCTGTAAATAATCGAGTCTGGACCAAGCAATCCAGTGATTGATATTATAAGTAACGATTCACTACGTCAGGTTAAGTTGACACGTGATCACCCAAGTCACCGAGCCTGACCACCCGATCCTTTAGGCTTCAAAACCCTGAATCCCCACGGGCAGTGTGGAAAGGAATAACCCGAACGTCTATCGGAATTATCAGTTATACGTCTCTTTAATTTTCACATAATTTCATATAAAAATAGGAAGGACGTACATACGTTATACGCGATGGCACGTGCCCCATTACATTTCTCCGAAATATACAACGGCTAACTACACATCATTCGATTACTATACTCGCACGACAGTGATGGAACGCCGCATTGGTGTATAATTTTAATTTCCGGGTTGTGTAATTTCCACTTTAAAATTCAGGGAAAATTGAAACTTGATTTATGATTCTTTTCAGAAATACCTGTCTGTAAAATAGCTATCTTCCAAATCATTTCTTCTTATTATTTCTTTGCTATGTAATTATGTTATTGTAAAAGTCATATGGTACTTTAAGCAAAGGTATATATTTGGTGAAGAAAATACTGCATTTATATTCAAACAATTATTCATAAAGATGCTTGTCTCATTTGATAATGAATGTTTGACATATCATATTGGCATTGTGAGTCATCAGTTCGGATTCATTATTGAGCAGTGATTGTCGTTAAACTTAGACCTGACATACTAGATTCTTCTTCATGGAACATTTAGCTCATGCATTTTATATTTGTCCGAATATTAATTGATCTTGCAATAGTTAATAGAAACGCGACAGAAAGGGTGTAAATGTGTCTGAAAGTCATGAGAGAGAGAGAGAGAGAGAGAGAGAGAGAGAGAGAGAGAGAGAGAGAGAGAGAGAGAGAGATTTTGATCGGGGATATCAGAGATATAGTACACTTAAAGGTGTAGATATGTCTGTTTGTTTGTTTATTGTTTAACACCGCACAAAGCAATATTCCAGCTATATGACGGCGGTCTGTAAATAAATCGAGTCTGAACCAGACAATCCAGTGATTGACCACCCGATCCCGTTAGTCGCCTCTTCCGACAAGCACAGTCGCCTTTACGGCAAGCATGGGTTGCTAAAGTCCTATTCTACCCCGGATCTTCACGGGTCATGTCTGTTAGTACCGACCTTAGCCGGACCGGACTCAGTAGAAATAACCAACAATTAACGACGTCACTCCGAATTAATGAATGTGTTGTGCTCAAAGATTTTATAAAAACAAAGTCATATATAAATACTTCTCAAAAGAATTTAAAGACCACCCAATTTAATTTTTTTTTTATTTATCTGCCATGCCATCACAGATACGCAAAAGAAGTTAAGAGAACACCCGCTTATTTTCATAGTACTAAAGTTAATCTGCCATGGCATGACCGATTAACTGTAGTAATATGAAAGAATGTTTTTTCTTCACTTTCTTTTTGCTTGATTAACTATAATAACATATAGGAATTGAGAGTATTAATAGGAATACTATATCTGGGCAAACCCTGCCTACCAAATCAAGATTTAACGATTATCAAACGTGACAAAAATATGAAGGAAGAATTTGTTTAGCATTTATCGTTAGGCAATACAAAGGTCGTTCATAACACTTCCCAATTTCCTGTTCTGCTCTGTTTCGTTTTCGATGTAGTGAAGCTCTTAGCCATTTATTATTTGAAAATAATAGCAATACTCTTCTTTTTACGGCGTCGGAGAAATAGATTCCTCCCATCCATAACCATTCATTTCAGTAGGAAGAAGGAAGATATGTAATACAGCGAAGTATGGGGCCCTTCCCCGCCCACCTCATTATAAGAAGACTCATCATGTATACAGCCGGACCCATTGTGCTGTAGTATTACCCCCTCCGAAATTTACTTGAAAATAACCAACGTTACCAGAACGTTACTTGACCGAAAACTGTCGCCGAAACACTGCAAAGTTAATGTCCAAAACACAACTATGATACCTGAATACTTCCGAATAACCATTTCCTGTTGATTTCATTTTTAGCCACCATTTGAAATATATAAGAACTCGTAGTATATAGTATTATATTGTCCGGTCACATACGTGTAACGTGGGCAGCTGTTGGGGAAATCAACGGGAACCTTTCACAAAATCTTCCGGTTCAGTGAGCGGAAGAACATATTGAAAGAAGTAAACCTGCAACCTCTCCCAAATATCCCGGATCTCCCCACCCACACAAATATCTCACGGGGGGTGGGGGTGAAGTTGGTGGACATTCCTCATCACGTGAATCACTTGTTTTGCCGTGAACTGAGCTCACTAGAACTTGATTTGGTAGATTTCGGTTGGTGTTCAGACAAGGCGATGTTCTTGTTCAGCATTTATTTATGGTATATGTCACTAATTATATGTTTCAATGTCATTGTCGACACATGACCCCTGTGTTGGTGTTCTTTCGTATCTAAACATTACTGTGCATGCCCACATATGTTGAAATAATCTCTATGCATATTGATTGTCCCCAAGCCGGTTATCGATTGTTTGTTTTTTAAAGGTGAGGTGAGGTGAAATTGGGTTTAACGTCGCGTCCAAGATTATTGCACTTATATAGCGACGTGCATGCATGTGTATGTGTGTGTGTGGCTGCTTGTACTAGTCCGGACTGATGCCGATTTATAGTGCTAGCTCACTGAGATACCATGCCGCAGTTTAACATGAATACCCCACTCAGACACAGTATACTGACTCCGAGCCGACCAGTCCTTGTTTTAGCCCCTTAATGCCGAGCGCCAGACAGGGTAACAACAAGTACAATCTTTTAACGTCTTTTTGTATGACGCGGCCCGGGATCGAACCCTGGACCTTCCGCTCTCCGGGCGGACGCTCTACCACAAGACCACGGAGGCGGTCTTGTTTTTTAAACTTCGCCTAATAACATCAATGCAGCAGAACACTGCTATTCTGAAACTCGTGGCCATTACAGTCGTATAGAAAGTATTTATCATAAATTATACGCCCCGCGAAATGGATCTACGTTATAAAAAAATATTTAAAAAGAGGCGACTGAGTTGGGGATCCGGTGGCCACAATGATTGCTGTGTGTGTATGAGTGTGCACGTGCGTGTGTGCCTGTTTGTTATTTAACGCCGCACTCAGCAAAAGCCCAGCTATTTGACGGCGGTCTGTAAATAATCGAGACTCGACAAGACATTCCAGTGATTGACATCAAGAGTATCGATCCACGCTGCAGGAGTACGATAACACGCCAATAACCAAGTCACCGAGCCTGACCGCCAGAACCATTAAGTCTCCCTTACGACCAGAATAGGTTGCTGAGGACCAATTGTAACCTGGAAACCCCACGGAGGTACGGCTGCAGCATGAGTACGAGTATGAGTATTCATTATACATGGGGCAGATGGACACTCAGTTCTCACATGATCATGATTCAACTCGGAAATATTTCTGTAAAAGAAAATATTCCCTGCATATGTCAAAAAGGAAGATATTTGCATTATTTTATTTTATTTAAAAAAACACATTGCTAACATGAAGGCTAACATCATGGCGCAATATTGCCGTCGGTCCTCAGTCGGGAATACGTGAGGTGAGGTGAAATCGGGTTTAACGTCGCGTCCAAGATTATTGCACTTATATAGCGAAGTGCATGAACGTGTGTGTGTGTCTGCTTGTACTAGTCCGGACTAATGCCGATTTATAGTGCTAGTTCACTGAGATACCATGCCGCAGTTTAACATGAATACCCCGCTCAGACACAGTATACTGACTCCGAGCCGACCAGTCCTTGTTTTAGCCCCTTAATGCCGAGCTCCAGACAGGGTAACAACAAGTACCATCTTTTAACGTCTTTTGGTATGACGCGGCCCTGGATCGAACCCCGGACCTTCATCTCTCCGGGCGGACGCTCTACCACTAGACCACGGAGGCGGTCCAGTCTGGAATACTCAGCAACACGGGCTGATAAGTCGAATTCCCGAATAACCGGAAACTCATTGGCCCCATGGGGATTCCGGGTTAGAAGAGACCCCTGGTAACCCATGGTGGTCATAAGTGATGTGTCGGATACTCCGACGGCGTTGGAAGTTGCTCAGATCTGTTTCCAGATTCGGAA